ACTGATTTTATCATGTTGGTGGTTTCCTGTTTTTCCAAGCTGTTTTTGCGCTCCTGTCTATCCGCCTGTCTACCAAAAAGTTGATTCAATTTTCAGTTAACATTTTCATTTGATTTTATGCCACTTTCTGTGTCACTTATAGTTGTCGGGTGGAAACCCGGACCTAGGACCGTTGTAAAAGTTGACTGAAAACAGGAGTTACGTTTTTGCCTGTGGCTTTGATTTGCCACGGGATGGAAAACTCTATACATCATCCATCTACGGGGGACATTGCCTTTTGGGTTTTGTGTTGTTTTTTTATGGTTAGACTCGCTCGCTCGCTCTCTTTCTGGCTTACAATCGCTGTCCGTCTGTCTGTCTGTCTGTCTCCACGGAGCGCGCACTCTCTCTCTCTCTCTGTAGGATGCAGTCTCTTTCTGTTGTTTATTCCTTCTCTGGGATGTTGCATCTGTTTCTGTGGAATTAAAAATTTGCTATGCTATTCGCCATGATTTGCACTCGCACTCGGAAGATTGAGTTGTGGTGCCCCTTGTGTCTGAGCCTTTTGAAGGGCCATGAGAAAATTGTTTCGATGAAGAAAAGTCTGTGGAAAAGGAGGGGGAAAAAAGAGGCAACAGAGTCACGCTAGGCAGCAGGTGGAGGAAACCCTATTAATGTCAAGTTCATTGCCACAATCCGTCCAGACGAGTGAGAGAGCCAGAAGAAGGGGAAAATGATAGGCTGAAGAAGGGGGTAGATGGGGAAAAAGGGAGAGGTGGAAGAGCTAGATGGCGAGAGAAAGAGGTGGCCATAGGAGGCAGATGGAAATGGAGTCTATGGGGAGTGCAAGTGCATTTGAAGACCATTTATTTATTATGGTCAATATTTGTTTTTTCTATCTCTTCTCTTTCCCCAACTCTCTCCCCCCTCTCTTACTGCAAAAACTGGTTAACTCTGTCGCGCCGTCTCCAGTTCCGTCTTTCGCTCTTTGCGGATTTTGTCGCCACTTTTTGTGGCGCATAAATAAAAACAGGCTCTGGTTTTGAATACATTTTGTATCGCGCGAGACTTATCTCTCAAGTGATAAGACCGCACCGATTGAATCCATCATAATCAATAATAATATTATGAATATATGTATGTGCATATACCAGAAATCGGTATATAAATGCTATATCTTATCAATATAGAGCAGACCCGCTTGCCTCGGGACTACCGGAATTGGAATCAATTTGTCAACAGCAGCCTTGAAAATTTGCAATTAAAATTAAAATTGACATGCAACATGCAGCAGACACATCTCTGCTACTCCCTGCTGCTGCTGCTCCTTTCAGCCACTCTGCTTCTTTCTGGCATTCATTTTGCAGCTCTTTCTGCCCCTCATTTATCTCCTTAGCTACCCGAAGCAGAGACCTTGGAAAATGCAATTTTCCGCAATGACAATAAATAATGAAATATAGAGGGAGCAGAGAAGCAGCGGCTACTAAATAATAAAAGGCAGAATAAGAGACCAATAGCAGGAGAATGAAAGGATGATGAATCTTTTTTTCTTTGGGAACAAATTTAGATGACTTTTCCCCATAAAATATAGGTATATATTTTTGTTATCCCTGGTTCTATTGATAAATTATGGCTACACATTTCTTACGGGTTTTTCTTCAATTACTTTAATTGGAATTTCATGCCAAATCCCATTCCCATTCCGCATTTTCCTTTTGCCATTCTCCATGCCAATTGTAATTGTAATTTTAATTGTAATTATTATTGCAAGATTATCCACTTGTTGGCCATAATTATCCATTATCCCATGACGGCGGCGTGGCTTCCATTCCATTCGGGCAATTAAAATTGAAGGCGTATGCCGTTTAGTATAACACTTGCATGCTCCACTGATTTGATGAACTGAACATATATATTTTTTTCGTTCAAATTACAAACGTTTTTCCCATGGTTTACTTGTTTAATGATTATCATTTTTTGTGGCACGCAAAAGTGGCAATGGCGGCGCCAGAGCGGCTTGGATCGAGGAGTACTACGAGTATCTGTGATTTAAAAATACTTGCACTAATGTGCTGCTAAGCGGCCAATCGCTTGATGATGATGTGTGTGTGTGTGAGTGGCATGCAATTGGAGGCAAGCTGGTATGGAATCTTTCTTAAGAGAGTGGGTGGAAGGTCTTTCTTTTACTACCTTCAGCGTTCTAATCTTTAATATTCTCATTAAACTATACCACTTTACTCTTTCCACCATTTGATCAGTGTGCAAAATAAAAGCAAAAATTTTTTCCCACACACACACGCATACACATTTTATTGGTCCCACTGTCTACGGTCCATGGTCCAGACATCCCACCTAACTTGGCTAAATAAGGCAAAACCACAAGAGTCTCTCTCTCTCTCTCTCTTGAACTGGAACTTCTCTAAACGAAGCAAGAACCAATCCAATTCCAGACATTACATGGAATGAAATGCTGATGCTGCTCATCTGTGTCTCAGAGTTTAGGCTTTGGCTGCTGCTGCTGCTGCTGCTGCGGCTGCTTCTGCCCCCATAAAAGGTCATGAAAAAGTAGTTTACTTCTTCTTCGTTTTGTTCCATACCCATAAAAAGCAGCAGCAGCCATGAGAGGCAAAGAGGCTACAAAAAAAAAACACCTTAATCGTAAAACTAACAAAAAAATAAAAAAAACACATGACACGAAAGCTTCAATGTAATTTACACAAGAAATCTTTAACTTTAAACGAAAAACAGAGCCAAAAACAAATCAAAACATACAAAACATACAAAAAACCTGTAAAAGTTAACAACAAAAGAAAAATTACGATCAAAATCTGCAAAGAGCGCGGCCTTCAGGTGAAGATTTCTTCAAGAGCTAAAATTAAAACAAAAATATACAGCAGAGCCCCGAACTTTGATTGGAAGTTATGACATCTAATAATTATAATCGAAAGGCAGAGAGATATTTGCACACAACAGAGAGAGAGAGAGACACCACAAGTATCCACACATGCAAAACGATAATCCCAAGCTGTCCCAAGCTGACATCAAACCGTTATGAGGCGAGGCGACTGTCGTTATAACACCGCAACGACCGACGATCTCTTTTCATCTTCTTTTTGAGACTTCTCTTTCCCCTCCTCTTTTATGGGGACAAGGCAATAAACCCCTGGCAGCTAGCAGCAGGCTAATGATATGAGAAATCTGATTGATTATAATTGAGTGGCTCGATTGACAGGAGGAAGCCTCCAAGCAGCAAGCAGCCTCCAAGCAGCAAGCAGCCTCCAGCCTTCAGACTCCAGCAAACAACCCGATTCTAATGCCAATTTATTGGCACTTTCATCTGGCATCTAGTTTATGCAATGCAAATGTCAAGCAAGACCAGCAATTTCTTTAATTATACAATGGCATGGGTCATTGGTTATTCTGATTGTGGCGTTGTAAGAGCAAGAGAACTAGGATGCCTAATCATGTGACCTTGTTCTATGTACAACATGGGGTTCTATGGGGGTCTACTCGTTTGATTAGACATTCTCTGGACTTATGTGCACATTCATATGTACGTAAGTATGTAAATAAGACGAAGAAATAGGTTACAAAATATATTTATTTGACATACTATTAGATCTGCTCTGTTAATGTTTCCTCCAGAAAAACTTTAATTTGTCCTGACTTATTGTGGGGTTTGCTCTGTGTATTGGCATTTATTTTGATTCAAGTCAATCAGTAGCTCATAAAACATATTCTTGCAACACAGCGAACATTCCTCAAAGGAGCTGAATTGGGATTTATACCGTTTCTTCATGCACTCCTTGAAGCAGAAGGTCGTCATTGCATTCATGATCATCACTTCGGTATGTTTTGTTTCCGTGTTGAGTGCCATAGTTTCTTGAGTTTTTGCCATTTTGTTTCCCATTGCTGCAATAATATTAAACGTAAATTTTGGGCTTTGAATATATTGAATAATAGTTGAGGGATAACTGTGACAGTATTTACTATGTCTAAAGTTGGTTTATGAGCTTATATTTAAATAAATGAATGTAAAGTGCGAGTAAAGTAAACCAAATGTAAGCTGCAAAATATGCAGAAATATACAGAAATTATTTTCCACTTGAATTTCTAAGTAAACTGCAAAATAATGATATAATCTTCTACAATCATTGGTAATTTCATTCAAGAAATGAAATGTACCTACACACATGACTTTCTCTTTTCAACGTTTACTTCTCTATCTACATACATAAGTGCATATATTTCCGAATTAGGCTTGCCCCACGACCTGCCCCAAGTAAAGTGACTTTAAGCGGCTTCAATTTCAGTTGAATTTTTTTTTGTACATTTCGTATGGATGAACGCATGCATTTCTCACGCACTGTGAAACTAGTGAAATTGTTGGAACAACAAATAAATTAGACAATTACAAAGCGTTGAATGAATTGCTGTGGAAGAAGGGAACGAAAAATATTTATGGGCTTACCTTGAGTGAGAGTGAACGATAAGAGAGAGGGGAGGGAGAGAGAGCGATTGAAAGTGACGCGACACTTTTGATTACCACCTTGCATTAATAACACACCTTGAAAATGATGATTATGATGATGGGTATGGATGGGATGGCATCTATCCGTGGGGCTACTGTAAGCCCAACGTACGCTTTATGATTATCAATTTGTTGCTTTTGTTTTTTTTTTTTGTAGAGGAAAAAAGACTTTCTCCCTGCCCGTGGGGTTACACTCGATTGGGCTTCGACTCTGCCACTACTACTTGGCCACTGGCGGCTCTGTTGCAAATGAAATTAATTGCTTCCGTTTGCAACATTTTTGTTTGGGAGCGTGTACGAGTGGTATGCCTTAGGGCTCTACAAAATGTGTGGCAATTCTTTTGGGGTGGAATAGTAGCTCCCCGCTTATGGGCGGTAGCGGGCTCCATGGTTCACTGAACCCCCAAAACATGGTAGAGCTTAAGTTTTTGCGTTTCTGTTTACTGCAGGCGCTCACCTTTAGTTTTTGTTTCTCTTCTCTTTTTTGCAGAAATTTGCATTTTCATCTTGCGCAAAAACAACACAGACACAAAAATGCTGACACCGATGAGGCCGGCGGTGGGTTGATTGGGGGCTGACAACAACCAACGACAACAATATCCACAACATCCACAGAAGCAGCAACAGCGTCCACACTGCTGCTACTGCTACTGCTGTTGCCTGCCTGCCACGCTTCAGTGCAAGACACACAAACAGAAGTGGAAGGAAGTGCTGAAGGAGAAGGAGGTGCATCTGTAGGAAGCTTCGAATATCAAACACCTCGAAAACAATGAGAAATGTTTGGAGAGGAGTCTACCTAGACTGCCTCTAGGTGTTGACCAGGCTTAAATCACACAACAAAAGAGAGATAAAAAAAAAAACAGGTGGCACAGGAGACTGAAATCCAAGGACACAAAGAAAACATCCTCGAGCTGCACAAGCAAAAGGTGAGTTCTGTCACAGGTTTAAGAAAGTTTTCTTGATCAAATCGAGAGTTAAACTCGGAAGGAAACCCCAAAGAATACTTTTTTTTTATTTGGAGAGCAAAAAAGAGAGATTAGATTCGGAATTGAAGAGGTCTTTCTATTCAAAAATCCCTGTCTTGTTTTCCCAACTTTAAAGAGTTCCAATGACATTTTCCATGTGAAAAATGGGAAACATAGTTTTCTGGATAAATTCGTGGAAACATTACCTCACTAATGAAAAGTATCTCTCCCATTTGGGCCATAAAAAAAAGCGCACACACGGCAAATCCTTTTGGCCAGACAGGAGACCCAAAAATGAGGACAGTGGCTGCTGAGTGAAGGATAAACAGCGAGAGAGATGGGGAAAAGTTTGTGTTAGCTGCTCCTTAATTATGCGCACATGAGACCCATTCGGAGGGTAATGTAAACACCTGAGAAGCAGCAACAGCAGCAGCACACGAGGAACCCTGAAGAGTCGGTGAGCCGCTCCCTTAATGGCGCCATGTCTTTTGGGTTTTATGTGCAGCAGTCGCGAGGGTTGCCAGACAAATGATTTATATAATCGCTGAACTCTGCTGGAACCCTTTTTGGGGGGTTTTGCTGGCCTAGGTGTTGAAGGAAAATAATTGAAAATAATTTTGAGAGCTAACGAGCTGCTGAAGTATCTGGCGAAACAAGGGTCAAGGACAATTGAACGCATTTCCCTTCAAATTTGCAAATATGCATCCCTCTAGCAATTCCATCGAATTATCTACTCCATAGATAACTGTAGGACCCTTCAGCACTCCACAGCATCATCAGCGCTTCTATTTGCTCCTTTTCTGGACTATTTTTGTATTGGTTGGATTTTTCCTCTGAGCGGAACTGTTGATACCTGATGGGGAAATATGCAAATATCGGCATCATTCACGAGTGGCAAAACCCCTCATCGTGTAACCAAAAATAGTCTCTGCGGCGGCTCCAGGCGTTGCTCTCATTCCAAGTCGCTGATTCACACATGTGGCATGTAGCATGCCATGTGGCGGCAAGGCTCATTTGTCAGGCTTATAAAAGTCAATCAATTCGATTATGCAAATGTATTGCTGTGTGCGATCGATGCAGGAACCAAATATGCCACAGGCAACGCATCATCTCAATTGTGAAACGGCTTTGAAGGCAACGCAGGCATCTAGACTTTGAAGACTCGTTTCGCAGACTGCAACCAAAAGAAACCACCAACTCCGATTCCGATGCAGATTCAAGTCTCCCCACGGATTGGTCTGCGACCCACTCGAGCGGGGGCTAGACGCGCGTGTGCACACCGACTCTTTTGCCAACTTGTTTTCCCACCGTTTAATTGGCATAATTTGTCGTAACAAGAAAGAACCCCAACGAGGCAGAGAGCCGAGCGGCTAGCGGCGGCGGAGGAGGAGGAGAACGAACCACAGAAACAAACCCCAAGAACTACATTCGAGAACAAACGACAACTTGTTTTCGTATTCGTATCAAAGCACACATCTTGAATTGTGGCAGCAACACACATCATTGCAAACAAGAGACAATAAGTGAATGTTGGGGTTTTGGGTTTGGGTATGGGTATGGGGCCTACGCGGAAAGGTGGTGTCTGTTTGCCACGACAGTTGTCACGACCCTGGCTCTGCAGGCAGGTTTTAAGATTGTAAATAAAATAAATAAATTGTATAAAACTTAATAAAAATATCAACTAAAATGACCATTAAAAGAACTACCTTTTAGAGAGAGAGAGAGGTAGAGGGAGATATCTTTAGAGTCCAAGGTTTTTACGAAAATTATGGAAACATAATTAAAATGAATGTAAGAGATTGGAGGGAAGGCCCAAAATGTTAGCCACAGGTAATTGGAGGCCAGAGATTGGAACTGGCCTAGAGATTTGAATCCCATCTAAAGATTAGGATTCTCCAAAGTGCACCCACACGATAGGGCACATTAATGCTTGACTTCAGACCCAGACGCTCAAGCGAATGCTTCAAAAAAGAATGAAAATAAAAAAAAAAACATGTCGTGTGCATTATTGTTCGACTCGTGTGCCGCTGATAATTCAAAAAGCATGGACACTATAGCTCTTCAGATCGGGGAGGCTCAAAAGCTACCCCAGAGAATTGTAGCCTGACAAAAAAAATGTAAAACAGACCTAAATGGCGACTCCTTGTTACATTGTGGAGCATAAGCATTATCTGTGATCTTTTAAGCAGAAGCAGAGACAAAAGCACATGGTAGAAGGGAAATAAACCCCTCAACTACATTGTGTGCCCTGCTCATCAGGGGAGCTTCCACTTATAGCATATCTTCATTAGGAAATCATTTTTCCTGGCGCCTATGTTTTTTTTTTGTTTAATTTAATTTCATGGGAAACTATTAGACCTCACAGCGGGGGCTTCCTACTGTGTACAGCATTAACAGCACTTCGTTGGTTGAATGGGGCAGGTAGGTAGGTAGATGGTTACGTTCTCTAATTGCTACCAATCTTTTGTGTTCTCCACTCCACTCGCCACATTGCTCTACTCTCCTCTCTGACCCCCTCTCAATGCCATTTACAATGGGGGCCATCATATCATTGTTGACATTGTTTTCGCGTTTCACGCTCAACGAGAGGCTAACTGAATGTTGACGCAATTATAACACACACGGCCTGTCTTGCTGGCCCACCTTCCTCCTAGTGGATCGTGTGTCGCCTCCGCTGCACGTGTTGCACGGGGGGCATGGGGCATGCGTCCTCCTCTTCTGCTAACGAGAACAATTTAACTTTTGTTCCTCCTCTGCAGCGGCCCTCCCCCTCTCGAACGTGCAATTAACATTTATGCAAAAATTAGAAACTGGAGGCACTGTAAACTAGTTTTTGTTGTCATTTGCAAGGCGCTAATGATGATCGTTATCGTTATGATCGGGGCCATTTAGTGTGCGGAGATTATAGCCCCATTTGATGGGGTGTCTAAATCCGGCCTTTATGCTAATGATAATGATAACTGTTATACGCCAGTAAGATTTAATGGTTTTATATTTTAGTGGGGATTGATGTATTTTTTTTAAAATTTATTTTGTAAAGGAAACTGTTATACAGATAGTAGATAGAATGTTAAATCTTTTAAGGAACCTTTCAGAGGACAAACTGTTATAGCCATTATAAATATCATGGGATCCTTTGTGGATTTCTCGGGTCTTCAGAAGATACTATTCAAGAATAACCGTATACCAGTTTCAAAATATATAGTTACAGTTCCAATGCATAACACTTACAAAGTATAACAGTTAAATAATGCAATAATGCATCAATAAGGGATGGTTAATGGTTCCACAAACTATCATACACAAAAATGATAATAAATGTCATTTAACTACTTGAAAATACAATCACCATTAACCATAAAATTGAATAAAGCCCACCCCAGAGAGAGAGAGAGAGCCAAGGACAAAGGACTCATGGTATTAATAATCGTGCAAAGCGAACAACCGGCCACCAGCTCATCCCCGTGCCACACAAAAGCCATCCATAAGGACTGTGGCACTTGAACAGAGCTGTCCATTCACATGTCCTTGCTGTCCGTCCTCCCATCCCGTGGGCTGTCCATTTTGTGTGGCATCAATTCGTAATGAGGGGCCATTGGGTGGACTGTCGGATAAACGTGTCATTAAATCAATATCTGCGAGGCAGACAAATAAATCTGCCAACTCTTCAAATATTAACGAGTAGTATGCAACGCTTGCAACATTGCGGTGCCTCTGCTCATGGGAGGGTGCAGTCATGATGCATACGTGATATTTTAAGCGATGCTTTTACGCTGCCATTTTCCCCCCGTGACACACTACTGTACTATACTTTAATGGTATCTCTATCGCATAACTCTGCCACTTGATGATGATGTACGAGCAGGCAGTTCTTGTATAACAAAAGCAACGAGATCACCGGCTAATTTTAATCTTTATCTACCGCTCTTTTATCTCAGTTTAATCTCTATCTCCGGCATTATCACCCTATTCACGGTCAAATGACTTGCTTTGTGCATTTCGGATTAGATTAGATGGGTTTTCACGGTGAGCGTAGTATCTCGTGCTTTGCTTTGACTTTTGTCCCCCCACCCCCACTACCCCATATATATTTGTCAGACGTGTCTCGTGCTCTTTTGACTCTGTAAACTGGCATACAAAAGGTTGATCTCTTGCCTCTGTAAACTGGCATACAACAAGAGGGGAGGGGAGTGACTTTTTGGAAGGCCCCGTCATAAGCTTCTCTGTCGCATTCCGACCTTTGTCTCAATTTTGGGGCGTGCCTTCACCACTCTTTCTCTAATTTTGAGCAAACAGGTACTCCCCATTCCATGGAGTATACGTAAATACGAGTATATGTACATACGTATGTAGCACCCGCACTATCTGTGCATTTGTTTACCTCTTCTATGTAGTTGCTGGGTTGTTCGGTCGTAGACTTCTTATTGACATTGCGATAAGTTCGGTAGATCTGTACCTCTCTCTGTTCCGCCACATACTGCGCTTTTTTCGCGCCCCTCTGACACATCGAAAATGTTATATACCATTTAGTTATATAAATGAGTACATATGTATGTACATATATAGAATTATAGTGGGGTAACTTTTTCTGTTGGGGTTGCATGGGGTTGGTTTTCTTTGTGTGGCGATTCATAATCACTTGAGCTAAATATACATCACTAATGACACAAATGATTAGTGTAACACTCGATATCGAGCACAAAACGACTGCTGTACTCCGGGTATTGAGACACTAAGGATTTGAAGGGAAACTATTCATTGAATGTGGATTTCGAGGCTGAAGGATTGTTGCGCTATATTTTCCCTACTGTATCCCTGCTCTACTGTATGACTGTTTTACTGTATGATTATTTGACTGTTATACTTTGAAATTATTACGATGTAACTGTTATACATTGTAACTGTTATAAATTGTAACTGTTATACACTGTAACTGTTATATGTTACACTGCTGTTGAAAAGTAAACCCAATCTGAATACACTTCCATCCGTTGTTGGGCACCTCCATAAGCCAATGTAGCCAAATGTAGCCCTAGCCTAACGTAAATCAATACTCGTATGTACCGCCAAAGTCGATAACAGTTGGAGCATTACCCTATCAGCGGGTGAAACGAATACCTGTGCAAATGTTGCTTTCGTTGTTGCGTCTCTTTCGCTCTCTGAAATTTTCTCTGCAAGAAAGCGCCTTTAGCTGGCAATGCCACCTCTCTCTCTCTCTCTCTGGCCACTCTTCCGCTCTTTTGCAGGCCCGAAAGCACAAATAAAACAACTAATTTATTCACTTCTTCGAAGACTTTCACACACAACGTAACGCACACCCGAACACCCGTACCAGCCGTAGGTGAAGGGTCCATCAGCCATCAATGGTGCCATTAATTGTGTTTGATGTGCAGAAAAAATAATAAACATACAACAAAGCAAAAAAAAAAATCATAAAATTTTATGCGAGATAATATCCACGGAAAAAAAAACAAAATAGTAAAGGTGAAAATTGTGCCTATTTTTGGGAAAGTGTCAGTCAAATCTATGGGAGACAAATAAAATGGCAAAGGTAACCCACAAAACCAACGAAACCAGCAAAAACAAACCACAATAATCGTAAAAAGTTAGTCGCTTCGATTTGATCTGTTTTGCGACTCATTTGGGGCGCGGCTGCTATCAGTTCAGTGGTTTAGTCATAGAGATAACCACATCGTACCTACCATTTCTGATATAATCAATAGTTGTTCCCCTTCTTTTTGTTGCAGTTGCAGTATGGAAAAGCCCATGCACCATGCCCCCACGCCGGCTGCCGTGGGTAAGGTGAGCCAAATCGCGAACATCTTCCAGCGGAAACCCATCGAGATCCAGCCGGTGGAGCAGCTGACAGCCGTGGCAGCCGCACATGCAGCAGCAACAGCTGGCGGTGGCGGCGGCGCTCCATCCCATTCGGCGAGATTCAACAATGCCAGAGCACTCTTCGAGAAGCTTGGCGTCGAGTCCAATTCGAATGTGAGCTCCAGGCTGCTGAGAAGCGGTTCCCGGGAGGATAATCTGTGCGACGGTTCGGATAGGTCGTCGTCCCGCTCTTCGGATCGTTCGCAGTCGCCGCCCAAGCGACGCACGCCCTTCCCCTCGGGCGTGTCGCTCATTCACAACAATAACAACGCCTCGGTGGCAGCACAGAACGGATCGCCAGAGCAGCGGCTGAGCAACAGCAAGTTTATAGTGGAGCCATCGTCCCAGACGCCACCCACATCGGTGGTGAAGTATCCGCAGCACAATATCTCGCGCCTGAAGGCCAGCGGCGGCGGCGGCGGCGGCGGCGGTAGCGAGGAGGTGACCCCGCCACCAGGAACTGGAGGATCTGTGAGTGCACTCTTCGCCAGCTCCGGGGGCGATAAGCCGGAGAAGCCAGAGCGGAAGTTCAATTCGCGGGAGCTCATCGAGAAGCAGAAAAAGTGGACATCGCACTTCACCAAAACAAAGACGACGCGCACCCACAGCGATCTGAATCGGTGCGACATCATACGCACGGTCCCGGGAACCGGGCTGATCATGGACAGTGGGGAGAAGGCCACGACCAAGCCGGCCATGGAGCCGCCGCCGAATGCCAGTCCCAATCCGCCCATGCGGCATGCCCCCAATCAAACGCCGCCGGAGATTAAGCCGCGGAGCGGAAAGATTGGGAGTCCTGTGAAGTCGCCGCCACTGCCGCCCATTCCGGCGGTGAAGCCAAAGAATGTCAGTCCGGTGAAATTCAATCCGGAGCGGGTGCGCTCGTCGCCCACAAAGATAGCTGTGGAGCCGTCGCCCCCACCGCCGCCCGCCAAGTCAGCGGCCGTGACGGCGGCCATGCAGCGATCCCTGCTCCAGGAGCAGCAGCAACAGAATATCCAGGCGGCACCCATACCGCCCGAGAAGCCGCGCAAGAAGTCCATCGATCTGATTGAGGATCAGACGGCCAACCTCACCAACTGCTCCACGCCCTCCTCCTGCACGTCGCCCACCAGCAGCGCCTCGAACAGCGCCTACATCATGCAGGCGGCCAAGCGGGGCTCCCTGGATGCGGCAGTCACAGGCCACGGCAACGGTCTCAGTGGCAGCACCAATTCGGCGGCCTCCTGCTCGCCGGTGGCCAGCGCCTCCTCGGGCCCCTCCTCCCCCGTACACACGGAGGATGAGAAGCAGGAGAACGAGTCCACAGAGAAGTCGGAACTGATGGAGCACTATCATAACAATAATTACAACAGTGTTCCAAGGCGGCGGCGCAGCGAAATTGAAGGTAAGATTTTTATTTACTTATGAATTGGAGTCTTCAGGGTCTTCCCTTTGGATGCCATTGAAACTTGCTTTGGATTAGCTTTTGTTGGATTCGCATTAGTTTCCTTAGGATGCACTTCCTTCCTTCCTCTGCCGCTTCCTTCTGCCTGCCTTCCTTCCTTTGTTAAAATATAATTGCTAGCCTTTATAATTTCGAGACCCAGAAGTGCATTCTCAGGTCATTCTTGAAAACTTGCTTCATTTGGAGCTGGGAGAACTTTTGAACTTTGTTTGTGCTCGAGTTCAAACACCTTTGCATCTCTCTCTCTCTCTCTCTTTGTGTGTGTGTGTGTGTCAGGTCTCGCGACTTCATTGTGCAGTGTGGAGTTGAGTCTCCTGGTTTGCCCTCCCCCTTGGGCCATGCCATTCTATTTCATTGCATCCCACATTCATTACAAGTTTTTCTAAGCGGCGTACAAATCGTGACTTGTATATCACCGCCCCAACTCCGCCTTGCAGTCCTACTACACCTCCTCTTCCTCCTCTCTTCGCTCTTTTCCTCCGCTCTGCCGTTCTGCTGCGTCCTCCCTCTCTGCCGCTTACTTTGTGGCTGCAACTCTGGCGGAGACTCTGGAGGCAAATTCCAATATGGGTCAACCAGGCAGGCATATCAAATGCAGCCCCCCAACAAGACATAGAGAGCGAAAGAGAGAGAGAGAGAAAATGTAGAGGAACGCCAGCCACAGCGACAACGGCTCGACGACATTCCAAGCGAACCTTCACCCCTCCTCCTGCTCCTCCTCTGAATGCAGTTCTGGAGCCTATGGAGTGCAATGCTCACAATCTGTCGTCTCGTTGTCCCATCTTCATGGTCCGAGGCTCGTCGTCGTTGTCTATTTTTTTTTTTTTTCCGGATTTTGTTGGGATTCCCGCTCCCCTGATCCCTCACTCCCTCTGCGTCTCTCCTTGCTCTGCCTCTCCGCGCTCCATACATAAAATTGTATTAATGCCAGATTAAGAATTCAATGATGCGTTCGCTCCTCGCTCTCTGGCCCTCTTCTATGCCCTCCTAGGTTCTGCTGCTCGGATCAGCTCTATTTTGCGCTCTACCCTTTGCTCTGCTCTGCTCTGCTCTCCTTTCCTCTGCTGATTTCTATGGCTGATTACAAAATTGAAATTGCAGACCCCCAGCTTCCGCCTGCCTTTCCCCTGTCGACTCTCAATTCCAGAGCTGCTGCTGCTCTTCTGCTGCTCTTCTGCTGATGATTGCATTGCTTATCTGTTGAGCAGTGGATGAGTGGATGAATAGAGAGGCTCTGTTTTTAATTCATAAATGGCAGTGTGTCTGAAGTGTGGGGGCGTGGCTCACCTTGATTTATTGATTTCCCAGTTGAGTGGTTGAAGGATTGTGGGCTTGGGGGAGGGAGATGTCGTAAGGTAATGAACTCCAGTCGATTGGAGTATCTGCTGGGGGGATGGATGGATGGATGTTGGTGTAGGCCCACAGGCAGGCAGTGTGGATGGAACGATGGAAGTTCAAATTAAACTCAAACAGAGTAAAGGAAGGATTTGATGGGTAAAAAAGACTGACATTCCTGGCAATTTTCTTCATGTGCAGTGGAGACTCCTGTTTCTTTGATATTTTTGAACCCCTCCTCCTGTTTGTAGGCTACTGATTTTCTTTGAAATTTTGGGCTATTTTCGAAGACTAATCAGCGTAAGTTTTTGCATTTCCTTCTGTTTCCTGCTTAACTTCTGAAAGGTTGCCTTTAACCCCCCTCTTGCGCAAGCCTCTGGCTATTTCTTGTTTTCCTTTTGACGTCTCGCATATTTTACTTACTTTTCTTTGGCTGCTTCTTCTGTGCTCTTTTCAATGCGCTGACACAGCACTCGTCATATGCTAAGCGCCATTCGTAATCGTACCTTTACACCCATCATACACTCAGCCCCTATACCCTGCACCCATACCCTACACCTGCACTCTATACGATATACATATACCCTTTATACCCAGCACCCATGGCACTGTCAAAAGTTGAGACATGACAGGGACACATGAATGGGGGAATGGGCTGTGGCGGAAGAGGGCGATCGAAAGAGACGGAAGAGAGGGAAAGGGAGCCCCAAACCGAAGGCCTAGGCTTTGGTGCTGCATGGCACAATTTTTGAATGGTTCGCCTGTCGTCTGTCACATCCAAGAGTTTATAAATAACACAACGGAAAATACTATTCATCCACTACACTACAACTCTTATGAGAGGGGGCTGGATGGGATGGAAGGGAAGGGGGAGCAGAGGAGACCCCAAATGTTTTTGTATGTATCTGTGTTTGGCTATAAATTATGTGGACGCTGCCGCTGCTTCTTTTTGTGCTCCACTTTATATTAAAATCAACAAAAAAAGAGACATGTTGTGGGGGGCTGTGACGACAGGGATGGGGGTGTGAAGTGTGCTGTTATGGGAAGTTCGAGGGGAGAGGTCGGCTAATATTTAATCACTTTATTTTCTACTGGTTAATCCCAAACGGAAGGTATTATTTATCACAAATTAAAGCTCTCTCAAATATTGACAATTTGTTGGAGCAGAGAAAGGGCAGGAAACTCTGGTATGGGATTCAAATGGGGTGCAGCATGAGCAGTCAGAAGGGGCAGGCAAAACGGACAGAGAGTGAGAACACAGTTCGGAAAAAGGTATAATTACACAAGGAGAGAGGTATAATTATGCCAGAGAAAGCAATCAACATTTTAAACAGAAAGATTAAGAGCAAAAAGTGAACTTGCGTTAGATGCACCCTGATAGCCGTTACATACTAAACACAAGCGCTTTCCTGCTCTCTCTCTCTATCTTCCTCTACTCAAACCGTTAGAGTAAAAGGCCAATAATCCTTGATTTTAGACACGATTCCTTTGTTTACCTTTTTCTGTTTACATTTTGGTCCACCTCTAAAAAAGCGTTGCCACTTCATTGGAAGTTCGCTTAAAATAAGCTTTCAGCTGACAGCGCTGCCACATGGTTAAAAATCTCTTGCAAAAAGCTTTCAGTTTCCCCTCCAAAAGTTTCAAATTAAACTGGAAAAAGTGAAAAGTTCATTGAAAAGCTTTCATCGTTAGTGCCGCTAACAACCAACAGCTGTCGCTGGTGTCAACTTATTTTCAAATTATTTTCATTGAGAAAAATGATTGCACGTTTTTCTTTGCTTAATTCTGCCTCGAGAGTTCGTTGCTCTACCCCTACCCCTCCCCGACAGCAGCATTTTCAATGACAGATGCGTGGGTTTTTGACAGCCACTTGCCGACAATTTCGCAACGTCTCTCTCTCTGCCTGCCCGTCACTCCCTCCCCTATCTGTTTCTCTGTTTGTCTGTCGTTTGCTTTGTTGTCCGCATAGTTTGGTCCAAGTGTCGCATTGACCACCCAAGAATGAGCAGCCACCATTGTCCATTTATCAGTAGTATTCCCTCCTCTACCTCGCGTCACCCTACATTTGGTGGCTAGTTTTTCCTCTGCCTGTCCCTCCTGCCTGTGGTCCTCTGTCTGTTGTCTAGTTTTTCGGTTGATTTCTTTTCAAGATTTCCCCGGCACTGATGACGTCCATTGCGAAAATGAGCTGACAAATGTTTTCACGTCAAAAACGCTGATGATGCCACATTTTCGTAAGAAAAAGACATTTTCTTTGCCCGGTGTAAATGTCGCCATTTAAAAGTAAAATTGATTTACCTTTCGCTGCCGTTGGGCTCTGAACTTTTGTGCCATAAAAATTGTATTTTTATATTGTACTTCTCGTGTATTCTCTTGCTCCAAAAATCATTTCCGAATTTCGCTAGTTGAATTTCTCTAAAGAAATTCGTAGAAACTATTTTCAGTTAATTTCCCATTTTATAATTAGATGAATACAGGCGCCTCTATCTCTCCCCCACCGACGATCACTAGCCCGAAATTTGTCTCGACTTTTGAGTGATGTGTGCGCGCCCCCCTACCCCTCTGGCTCCTCGGTGGCATCCATGACACCCACCGTAGACACCGAAAGAGAGAGAGAGAACATTTCTGGCCTTTCCCAACATTTGGTTTTTGGTGTTTTTGGCGGATTTTGCAATCTGGCAGTTTGACAAGTGGCGCGGCGGCCCTCGCACGAGCAGGGGAGTGCCGACTGGAGCACCCTGTGTGTGTGGGGCATGACAAACGGAACTTTGGGGGCTGGCTGCCACATGTCTGGCCCCAACAAGCCACCACGCAACGGGCAATTTGCCAAAAGAGAGAAATGATCCCCAAATGATCTTTCTCTCTCTGCGTTTTTCTCTTTCTATGGGATGCTGAAAAACTTTTCTCCGCTTCGGATCTTTTCAGTTGATTTCGCGTTACGGTGGCGTTTCCATTGATAAGCGGGCTAGAATTTTCGTATTATAATTCTACTCGGAATCGGATCGTTAACAAAAAAAATAATAACCAGAATGCGAATCTCTACAGTAAATCTCTCGTATCTATTAAAAGTGAAAACCTGCGAAACCCCAAACAAATTTGTTGAACCTTGAACAAATGAATAAAAAAAAAATACAAAAATTCAAATGAATCAAAACAAATTATACGAAAATGAAAAATATTCCATATAGTAACCATTCGCTTGGGTCGTGATTCTAGAATTCTAGAGGGTTTCTTCTCGTATTTTGTGAGGGGCACGTGAGGTGTCGCACAGATTTTTCAGGGTCTAGTGATAACAGAAACAGATCCATCCTCTTTCTCCCACCCTCTCTTCGGAGCTCTGGTTTCAGTTTCGTATTTTTTGGGTCTGGAAATGTCTTGAATGTTGCGGTGAGTTCTGGCTTCGTCTCCGGGGCTATGATGGGGCTTTGGAGGGGCTGTCTTTCAGTTCCAATGTGATTGGCCCCACTGCAAGGTGTTGGTTTTTAATTCATTCAGAAGAATATACTGCCGAATTCAGTGATTAAAAGTGTGCAAGAATACTACAAGTGGTAGGTGCCAGGTAGATTGGAAAGACTTTCACCATTCCATAAGTGTATTTGATAATACTATTGCCGAGTGCACGCGAGTGCGGAGAATCGTTTGACAAAGTTCGTTAGAAAATTAGGTAAAAGGAAAGGAACGAGACAAACAGTACAAATATGGAGAAAAGGCGAAAAATCAAGAAGCTACATATAAAGTGGCAACAGGGCAGAATCGGGTGCCCCGATATCAAAAGATCGAAAAACATATTCTGAATATTCCAAAAGATTTATATACATATATCTTTCTTTTTGTAGGATCTTGAAATATGGAGTATCTCTTAATTTTCTACTTAAATAATCTTTGATCTTTCGTTGTTGTGGATCTTGAATGCAGTTCAGCGAACTCCTTCGAGTGCGATTATTTTTTGTGTTTTGTATTTTGTTGTGGTGCGACACAAAACACACAAAAAAACACACACACACGAGTGAGTCGCAGGAAAATATTCAAAAAATGCATTCCCATGTGTGGTGGCAGAGTTTTTGTTCTTGCGGCATGGCAACAGGCAGCGCCACAGACATTGTTGTTGGCATTGTCTAGAATGAAAGAAAAAACGTTTAAAGATATTCCTCCCATTCTTCTGCCCATTTTCTTAGATATTTGTCTGACACTTTTGCTGGTTTTTCTTTTCCCCTTTTACTGCCTCTCTTCTACACGGCTGATGCTGGTTCGCTTTCACCCGAGTTTATTTTCAAATTTGAAATTGTATGCAAAAAAAAAAAACAGAAACAAGAAAAAAAGAATCCACACATACCACACACATCTCCGCACACACACACACACAAAAATGTTTGCAATTGTCATGTGTTTGCAGTTTTTGGCTTCATTCCCCCCCATTCCAGTGAACACTTGAGAGGTTGTAAGATACTCGTATCTGTATATCTGCCATGGATTTTCCATGTGCAATCCATTGAGATGTTTGGTATTCCTTTTGCGTGGCATCTCGACCATCGAATTGTGTGAAATGTCTAAGATATTGTCAATTAATTAAAGGAATTTGCACTGGAATTTAGAATTCACGCCTAATAAATTTATATTGGCTTTTGCTTTCGATTAATTATGAAAACCATAAATATTGAAAACAAAACAAGCAGCAGGAACTTTTGGCTTATAAGTTTCAGTGAAAATGTTGTAGTTGTTCCTTAAAATTGTATTTCTTCTATGATTAATGCTATATTTGTACAGTAAGAATGGATTTCTGATCTAAATTATTGTTTATTTTCTTTGCTAGTTTTGCTTAGATATTATAAGTAATTTTTGCCTCGTAAGCTGTTTTGCAAGCAGCTCCTTCTGCCACTCCTCTTCTCACCGCAGACACAGACGACTCTCCTTTTGTCTTCGTTGCTGCGTTGCCGTTTTCATTATGTGCCTGTTGTTCGTGTATGTGTATGAGTATTCGCATCTGCATTGTCAGGACTTTTTGGGGAATTTGAAAGTTGACCTAACTAACCAACAGGCACACAAATGCCAACACAAGGAACCAAGGGAATCCAAGAGGCAGCGACAGGCAGGCGACTTTTGCTAAATCTGCTGTCACATGCTGCATGCAGCTGCCTCTCCCTCTTTTTGCTTGCCGTCTTTGTCTCTTTCTTGTATTTTGTCAGTCTCCTTGCATCTTTTCCCCACATTTTGTCTGGTTTAGCCTTTCGTTTTGACACATTTTGACAGCAACTTCCGTTTTGATACCCTTGAATCTAGTTTCTCATGGTTTTGAACAGATGTTTGAAAGTTTGAAAGAGAAGCAGCGATCACCATGATAACCATATCATAGATGGCCGCAAATTTTAGCGATTTTTATAAACAGAATAAACAAAAATATTACCAAGGGAAGAAAATATCGATCTATGGGCCAAAGGTATCAATAGCTTCGGTACACAAAAATTGTCTTCGCTTTGTGACTTTCTTGACATTTGCCCTGCCTCCTCAGACTCCTGGTACTCCCTATTTTTCTTGCCCTGGTCCACCTTCTTCAACATCCTCATTCTTTCACTTTTCTCCCTTTATCTTTGTCTAATTTGTCGCTCTCTTTGTTGTGGTTTCTCCAACAATTATTTTAGCATTTTCATGTGCATATTTGAGTGTTCTTTTTGTTGTTGTTTAGGAAACTACTAAATGCATCTCCCTTCCTGTGTTCTTTTTTTCTCTTTGCATTATCTCTCTTTCTCTATGGCCTCTACTCTCTTGCCCAATTTGTTCTTCCATTTATTTTTTCAACTTTAATTTGATTTCTCTATTTCTCTGCCTTTTAAGATTCTCCGTTGGAGAAAATCCAATCGATTCGTTCGATGCATACTCGAGATGCCTTTTTTTTTTCAATTACTCTGTGAATTTTCCGTGCAGTTTTTCCACTTTATTTATAAATCATTGATTTATTTAAAACTTTTACGCAAATTTGTCCTCTCTCGCTCCCTCCCTTTCTCTTTTCCTCGTTTGATTTGCCATTTGTTACTTCTCTCATTAATTGTCTTTTGTTCTGTTTGTTTTTTTTTTTATTCTTTTTTGTACAGAGAATGTATTTTTGGCCGAGTTTTTCATTAATTTTCGCATCTCATTATACCAAAGCACACACGGTGAAAAAGGGGGAAGGGAAGAATCGGGGAAAAACTTGAACGCAAAATGGGAGAAAAATCGGAAAAAAGTTACGAACAAAAGTGTGATGTGATGTGGATGCTGGTTTTTTCTTTTCACCCAACCCACCCCTCTCCAATTTTCATCGATTTCAATTGCGTTTTGTTTATGGCGGCGCTGTCTTTGTCGATCTCTGCTACCTCTCTTTCGCTCTCTATCTCTCTCTCTCTCTCTGATATGAGCTCTTTTTCTATCTGTGATTCCCCCTCTCTGTTTGGTTGCCTGAACGCGAATGACCTTCGGTTTTGGCTTGAATTTTCATCCAAGTTTATTTACTTGAACCGAAAACAGAACATTACACATACGCCGAATTGGCCTTGGCCAATCTGTCTATCTCTCTCCTTCTGCCTGCTTGCTGTCTGTCTCTGTCACTCCCATTAAGTATTCATTGCTGCTCTTAATTAAAAGCGCACGCATCTCTAATTGGCATTAAGTATACGCCAGGGTGCAGTGCAGCACTTGACCAGGCCAACAGGCAGCAGCGGGAGGTAGCGGGCGATAGCGGGAGGCAGCAGTAGCGAAGGAGAGACTCTTGTGGTTAGACCAAATCCCGTAGTGAGTGGGGCTTAGGGACCAAATTGTGGATGCGGTTGTAGTGTAGGATTCTGCCTCTATTCCTACTCTATAATAATCAACAGTTTTCCAGCGATGTTTCACAGTTGTTGCATGGCCCTCTTTCATGGAAAATTACTAGTCATTGTTCAGTCCGTCTTTTAGATGTTTTATCGTATATTTTTTAGAGGCTTCTTCACCACGAGCAGGGGAATCTTTCTATATACCGGTAGATCTTGTTTTGAGAGTGTATTTTTTCTTCTTGTTGTTTTTTTTTTGTAAGCGACTGTGAAAGAGATTCCTACTGATACAATTATTCTATTATTATTATTACTCTCCCCATTTCTATTTGGGATTTGCTCAGCGAACAACGGTTACTATATCTTTAAAAATCAATCTAATTATACATGTATTATCCCCAAAAAGTGCTGACAATATGTGCAATCGAAAACAGTAAGAGAGAGAAAAGAAAAGAGTGCAGTAAAGTGAAGTGAAAGCCAAAAAGAAAAATGTGTCTTAGCTTGCGGAAACTTTGTCAGGCTTGTCGAGGTTAGTAGGGGAATGGCAATGGGATTGGGGAATGGAATGTTTCAACCCATAAATAAACACATAAATAACCGATAAAATCTATTATAAACTGTTTAAAGAAATGCCCAATTATCCCTCTGGCACGATATCAAAACTTCAAATGGATTCCAATGCCAAAATGCGTTCAACAAAAGACCCTCTGGATTCATCCCCAATGTAGTGTATCCAGTCAGAGATCTCACAGATACTATATAGAATCTATATTTATGCCACTGCGTTGACAGCTTTAACGTTTCTCGGACACAAAGCAAAAAACAAAAAGACGAAAATAGCAACAGAGAAATCCCAGAAAGCGAGAGAGAGAGTGTACAAATGGGAGATTAGCTTTCTGATCCATTAAAAATATTCAATATTCGTATATTTGTGTGTTTCCACATTGAAATATTGTTGTGTATAAATAAATAAATTAAGAAAATGTATGCAAATGGAGGGAAATGGGGAAAAAGACAATTAATTAAACAATTCATTGAAAGTGTCAAAACATACACCCCATGAATCATCGTCTCAGATATATGTACCACTCTCCTTATACTCTGTATAAATTACTTTAGAAATATACCGAGAGCTATCCTAGAAATATACAAAGAATTTTCCCCGAGATCCCTCTCTATAGATCTGCCCAGATCCCTCTCTATAGATCTGCCAAGATCCCCATCCCCATCTCCCTAGAGAGCTCTGTAGCACTGACTCTAGAACATAGAATTTTTCCGTGAAATATCACTCTTTCTATACTCTATTCCGCTACTTCCTTGATACTTCCTTCAGTTTCGAAACATTTCTGGGTCATTTGAAAATGTAAATATTCAGAATTTCAGTAAAACAAAACACACAAATTAACGAACATCGGTAGAAATCTCCCAATCCCATACATAATGTTGTCCCCAAGGAAAGTTGATGGCCGTTGGGGCTCCCCTCCTGGGAACGATGCCAAGTATATGCAACATCGACCATCAAAGGCGAAGGACTCTAAGAGGGATACACTGAAGGAAAAATCGGGGAGTATTAAGCCAAAAAGTAGTTCTACGAGCAAGAGTGGCAGTCGCAGGAATACGATGACACAGAAACCGCAACAAACCAACGAGAAAGATGCGGAGAAGAATAACAAACAGCCGGAGAAATCGCGCAAGGAGGCGGTCTACGATGCCAAGATGAATCTCCTGTTCAATGATTTCTTTGTGATGCTCGACAGCAGCCCCCTGCCAGAGGAGGCATTCGACATCAAATCGCAGGAGTATAGATACGCGTCGCAGTGGATCAATAAACTGATGACCATGAAGTGCGGCACGCTGCTCGAGGGGCGCATCCGCAACGCCTACATGAGTGCACTGAGTGTGTGTTTCAATCAGAAGCGCCTCTACGGTATCTTCGACCAGATGCCCCCTGATGAGCTCGAGTGGATTGACTTTGCGGACACCTCGCATCATGGGTCGTTGGTGCAGGAGACGGTCGCGAACTGTGCCATGCAGGTCACGTCGAAGATGATGCAACAGTTTGCCTCGATGGGTGGACCACATCGATCCTTTGATCCGTTTAGGGGCTTGCCGCAGCATCTTATCGAGCATACAAGGGGATTGGGTCGCCCTCAGTTCGTTGGGGAGCAGCGCCAGCAACAGGAACAACAGTTCCAGGCCCAGCTCCAAGTACAGGCTGAATCTCTACGACTCGTGGAACAGACGCAAACATTCTACGATCCTTTGACCTTTCCGGCACCGCCCCATGCGGCCGAACAGTCGGGTCCACACCAAAGACCCTCGCAAGTAAAATTCGACACCTTCGGGTCACCCCCGCGCTTCATTGCGGGCAATGTAGAAGGAAGACAGTTCAACCCGTCAGGGCAGACAATTGAGGATTTGGGCAATGCCTTCAAAGAGTCTCCTTCGTCTTCTGCTGCGCCCAAACGTTCCATTCTGAAGCGGAGATCCAGCACCGGCACGATGGTCTCGCGCCATCGTGCCAAACCAACACATCCCAAGGCAGCCGTGTCCTTCAATGAGAAGAAATACTTTGACGATGAAATTTGGACTAAAAGTCCAATACACTCCTACAGAATGGAATTCGCAAAGGCGGCCTCATCATCTAAATATAAAAGTGCATCGAATGCTACGAAAATGAAATTTAGTCCAGGTCCCAGAGAAGATGAGGATGCTGATGGGGAGGGAAGCGAGGACTTTCCCGTGGAGCAGGCGATCAAAGGATCAATGCAGGAAGAGCACGGGTTCAAGAAATCAAGCCAGAAGGCGCACCAGCAGCCCACCATGCGCCAGAAATCTCAAGGCACCCAGACGAAACTGTCGCGGTCCTCGGACATGAGCTTCCTCATGAAGTGCATTCATCGCGAGCTGAGCGGTGAGACATCCGAGGGAGCAGACGCCTATATGGAGAGTGAACTTGTGAACTACAGGCAATTTGTCAGCCAACACAGATGCAACGATGCCGAATTCAAGAAGAAAATGAACAGGGGAGATCCCATTGCGGAAAGGATATATCTGTTGATCAATATGCAAGCGGATTTGACCAAATTGATGTCCCTTGAACGGAGAGAAATTTACAAGGATTAAAAGTTTTAAAATTTAAAATAAAATTTTAAGTTAATAATATTCAGAATCTGAAGGGTTTTCCAATGGGTGAAAATGAGGAAGAATTATCGTGGCGGACTGATGGAACGACATGTAAATTGTTCTTTGAATTTTTTGTGACATTCTCTTTTGATGCATTCGCTTGTGCGTCTCGAGTCCGAGCATCAATCATGGACATTTAAATAGACCGACATCTTCTGACCGATATTATTTCTCTTTTATATTTGCAGGTCGCAAATCTGTGGATGAATCAACGGCCGTCTCGCAACAACAGCAACAGCAACAGCAACAACATTCCAGCAACAACTCTTCGCCCCAGCGTGTGGCCAACAAACGGAGCAGCATTATCCTTCAAATGCCAGCCGCTGGTCTCGGACAGCGTCCCCCCAGCATCATCTCGACGGCCAGCAACCAGGATGATGGGGAACTGAAGGCCAAAGGACTCCAGGGCGAGTCACAGGAAGAGCAGCAGCAGCAGCCCCACAGCCTGCACTACGTGGATGTGGGCTATCGCCTCAATCCCGATGGCAGCGAGACTCGGGAGGTCTACGGATCCGAGGCAGAGCTCTATGACACCGCAAAGGTCACGGATATGCAGCGCAAGTTTCATGGCGCCAATGGCTTTGCCCAGGAGACGAGCACTGTCTATGCGATCATCAAGACGGATCTCCAGGAGGGGACACCAGCGGCACCACCACGCGGCCTGCTGCAGTCACCCTCTGCCGATGGATCTCCGTTGCATCGCGTGGCATACAACTCGCCGCCAGTGGGCGTGGTGTCGCCCATAAGGCGCAGGAATAACCAGGAGCACAGCGGTGGTGGTGGAGGGGGAGGCAGTGCCAAATCCACGCCTCCCATTTCGCCCGCACGCACCGCATTGGTCAAGGGGATTGCGCCCATTGCCTCCATCGATGCGCACGAAGAGGAGGATGAACTGGATCTCGACGAAGGGGAGGAGGAGGAGGATGATGATGAGCACCTGACTGTGGAGTATGTGGAGGTGCTGGAGATGCACAAACAGCAGGAGGAGGCGGCACCTGTTCTGCCGGAGCGACGGGCACCCGCACATGGCGGTGGCATTTCCCTGGAGATGCAGGAGGACCTGGAGTACGCGGACACCAGTGCCGGCGAGGATGAGGAGGATATACTCAATCATTTGGGAATGATGCCTGGCAACGATAGCCTCGATAGTGTCGAACTGATGGACGATGTGGTCGATGAGGTGATCAAAGTGCATGTCAATCACAGTGTGGCCGCAGCCATTCCTCCCTCTTCGTCTGCTGCTGTTGCTGCTGCTACTGCTACTGTGGCACCTGCTGCTGCTCCAGTGGCACCTGCTGCTGCTCCAGTGGAACCAGCTGCTGCTGCTGCTGCCATTCCTCGAGAGGATAGCCTGCCCGATGACATGACCGCCGCCGAGGCCGAACGATTGTTGAGCTCAAGGTGAGTCCTGGGCTTCTACTTCAACTTCTACTTCTTCCATTTTCCAATTTTCATGTGTGTGTATACCTTGTAGTTAAATCTTAAGCATGGATTATCTTTGCTGTTAGTTGCAGCCCTAAGCATGAGTCCTGCTTTATGTTAAGTCTTAAGCATGTAGCCTTCTGTTTAGTTTGTTGCTTTTAGTTAGATCTTAAGCATGCTCTTTCCTTATATTATTTTTGTATATCATTATCCCAATTTTTGAGTGCAATTTAAGAGTGTAAAATAGTGCAAGGGAACCTCTCTCCATGAACTTTATGCTGCAAATGTTTATCTTTCAGTCTCTGCCACTCTGTAGATATTGGAGCCCCCACAACCACAGCCCATAGACATCCATCTCCGCTCTATTCATCAACACAGCTTTCCCACCTTTCAACAGCAGCCAGAAGCAGAAGCATGCAGCATGCAGTGCCTCACTTTTGTTGTAATTGTAAGCTAATCTGTCGCTTGTCAGTTGGCTGCAAGGATGTAGCCCCGGAAGTTGTCCCTGACTCAAAGCAATATCAGGGGTCTCCCTTTAGGTTTATTTGAGTTTGCTTAAGCTGCTGCTGCTGCAGCTCCTGCTGCTACTGCCCTGGCACTTTAAGCTGTTGCCAAAAACTGACTCGAACTCGAACTTTTCTCAATGGCTTGTTGCAACTTTTGTGACCCATTGGCTCAATGAATTCCTGCCCAGGAGGTGCCACTGTAAGCCCTTTTCTATAACCCCTTTTGCTACGTTTTGCGCCATGCATCAATTTGTTTAATGACGTGTTGTGTGGCAATGCCCCCTGCCATGCCACTTGCACACGCTTCCAATCGAAACCTCTGCGACTCCTGGTGGCACACTCCTGTTCTCATCGGACTGCTGGTCTGCTACTACTCCTGGCTGGCTTTGGTTTCCTTTCCCACCTTTGAACTGCTATCTATCCTATGGCACTATCCAGGTACTATCCCCAGATCCCAGATGCAGTTGCAGGTGTCTACTGCTGCTGCTGGTTGGTTGCTGCTGCAGGTTCAAAGGTTCAAAAGGGCGCCCATGGGTTGGAGTTGGGCACTGCTTTAAGTCGATTTATACTTCCGTTTTGGCTGTGTTGCCTGCAAAATTGACTTGCCATTGATTTATTGTGTGGCCAAACACCAAACCCCAAAACCAAACCTCTCTCCTCTCTTTCACCCTTTGCCATGTATTAAAATGCAATTTTCAAACGATTTTTCCTGCTGCTAAGTGTTGTTTCTTTTTCCCCCTACTAAATATTCCACTTTTCCATGGAACTCTTTCTCTACTTTTGTGCCTGAAATTCTTTTTGCATTTTCCCCTTTTCCCAGCCAACTATTTCTAGCTATTCCTTCATTTCGTGGTATCGCTTATATATTTCCCATTTTAACTCATTTTCTTTGGGTGGGCAATTTATCATGAACATATTACCGGAGAATTACGTTGCTCCTTTGTGCCCCTATGTGCCCCCGCTTTCCTCCATTTTCTGCCTTTCTGCGAGGTATTTTTCAAATCGTTTCGCACGCAAATAACCAATTTGTTTTTAGTCGCGGAAAATAACAGTATACTTAACCCGTGGAGTTTTCCTTTGGATCCAATACTTGAGTATATACGACAGACGATGTATATACGTGTAGCATAGTGTTGGATAGTGTGCGTGTGTGTGTGTTTCATACGTCAATTAGCGAAAGCATTTTGGCATTTTTTTTGCCTTTTTCTTAATGATAGTTTTCCGAGTAAAAAATCAAAGTTGGACGTTTACGACTCGACTCGAAATGAGGCGAAAATTGTGACTTTACTCGTGAATCGAATTGGAAGGAAAACTTTGGTTTTTATTTAGCCCAAAATTAAGAGAATTCTTAAATATATTCGAAGCTCTTAATGTGGTTCCCGCTCAGACTTTATTTGACCCGAAAGAAGAGTGTCTTTTTTTTATTTTTTGTCGACGAAGTCTTTTGACTGTACGCCCGACTCAAAATGCGATGAAATCTGTGACTCAAAAGAGGAGAAAACTCTGTTTTAATCGACTCGTAATGACGTCAACTTAAAATAGGAGAAAATTCTGAAAAAAAAAACTCAACTTTATTCGACTCGAAATGACTGATAATCCCATGAGAACAAGACTCTAACTCTATCTCGTTTGCACGTACTTTTCACTCATTTCCCCAACACTTTTCACTCATTCTTGCTCTCTTGCGCTCTCGCTGTGTTTGAGTGCGTCTCCGTGCCCCATGTGCGCTGCACTCTCGTCCTGCCCCAACATTCTGTTGCAATCACGCGACTCGAATCACATGCTCGTTGCTCGTTCAGCCTGTCGCATGGCTCAAAATAAAAGAGCAAAAAAATAGAAAAGGAACTTTTCCGTCGCAGAAAGTGCGCGCCAAACGCTGAAACGAAAATCCATTTACGAAAATAATGTGAGGAACATCGTTTTAATTAACATTTTCCATCGTGCTGAGGCGGAAAAACTCAGTTTTTGCACGGAAATAAGTTTTAATTAAAATCAAGGAGAAGGACAAGGCAGCGGAGAAGGAAAAGCTGCAAGTCCTTGCGCGAAGAAAAGTGCAAGGGAAGACCAGAGGAGACAAGTGCCACCCATATGCCCCATGCTGTGTGGCATTTCTTTTGGTAGGTGCAAAAAAAATATTATTATCAATATTTAATGTCACAGGGCCCGTCGTTGACAATTTCCGTCATTTTCATTTGCGGGTGTTTTTCCTTTCCCGTGTGTGTGTGCGTGTGCTGCTGATGACATTGCTCGTTTGCACATTTCCCTGCGAATGGTCATGCGAATGCGGCGAATGAGGATGATGATGAAAGGTGGTTTTCCTTTTTTTTTTTGCACACTTTCCATTCGGCAGATGAAGATGTGCAAATTGTGGAGAGTCCTGTTCCTTATGGCCAGCATTATCAGTATAGTTCTGGGTTCTGGGAACTCCGTTTGTTGGCTTTTAATTAGACAACTGTCTCTGGTCTTGTGTCTGGAACGCTGGATGGAAATGGCAATGGCAATGGCACACAGCCTCGCCACACGAGCCTCGTTAGTGGTGCACAGTTTTAGTGGCCATGTCCTGTGGTCGAGTGTCCTTTCTGCATATGCTATATTAATGGATTTTGAGGCCTCTGCCTCTCCCTCCCTACCACACACTCTCTCTCTCTTATTTTCTCTCCATCTGCTTAGATGATGATTTGTTTGCTTCAGACTCTCGAAAGGCCCCTTGCCATTTGTGGTTTTCGGTACGGGGGATATTGCATTGCATTTTGTGTGGCATGTTTTGCGGTTGCAACAGCCAGTAGCAGTGGCAGCAGTAGCAGCAGCAGCATATTCCTATTACGATAAGAGGTTAATCGCAATTAATTGGATTGCAGTTCTGCCTCTCTCTCTCCCTCTCTCTCTTGCTCCATTTTCCCCCACACCCACCCTTTCTTCATTATTTTAACGAGTTTTTCTTCACTTTGGCTTTCCATTTACTCATTTTCATTTGGCTTTCGTAGTTTATTCAAATTACATTTCCGTCGTCTGGTAATTTGAAGCGCAAATCAGTAAAAAAAAGGGAAGAAGAAAAACCAACAAACAGAATCTCAGCCACGCTCCTCCTCCCTCTCTGCTCTCCCCGTACTCTTCCCTTCCGCAGGATCCCATTCCACTCCTTCATTATGGTCGACATAGTGGCAGACATGGCATACGAAAAGCTTCAACAAGGCGACGACAAGTGCTAATCGCTCATTTGGCATTCAATATGCTGACACTCTGAGCGAGGCACTGCTCCCTGCCCTGCCCCTCGGACTGTCTTCTCGCTTTCCACTTCTGCTTCCCCTTCTGCATCGCCTTCTGATTCCCCTCCTGCTTCCCCTCCAGCCCCCTTATCTTTCATGACTTTTTTGGTATGGCTTTTTTAGAGGCTACGAGAAATGCATTTCAGTCAAGTTTGCTTTTAGTCTTCGTTGCGCTTTTAAGCTTATTTAAATTGCGGCAACGTCTACCGAGGCGGAGGGTAATGGTGGTGCGGGGGAAGGTAGGGGGGAGGATGGTGCAAAGGAATGTTTTGGGGGGAATAGTGGCGTCTGTAAGTGCATTGTGGAAGTGGTTTCTGTGCTTAGTTTAATTGTACATCCACTCTGACGACTACAACTACAAGTATCTCTCCGCCTCCCCCCGTTTACGAGAATTTCTGTGTGTCTCTGTTTCTAGGACTATTTATCTAGCTTTTCTTTTCTCTATGAGTACATATTCATCTTTTTCTCTCCCTGCGGCAAAGGCAAATTTCCAGCAGGAAATGACATAATTCGAGATCAGGAAAGTCAGGGAGAGGGAAGTGGGGCTTAGGAGTAGGAGAAGAATGAAAGGTAATTGTATGTGAAAGATGAGAGAGGAAACGCATATCAAAGGTTTATAAGATTAGAGTTATATTAGAGAACAGAATTACTGCTATGAAAATTAGCTCTTGGCTATTGCTGCTATTGCATTTCCACACACAAAGCAACACAAAGGATTCTCTTTTATATATAGAAAGTCAGCGATATAAACGGGAAGATGTTATGGGAAAATATATTCAAATAAAGAAAATTTTTAATAAGAAAAATACCAGTTTTGATATATACAAAAGGGAAGTAAAGATCTAAAATAGTTGTAAATCTTTGAGAGAACATAGATAGATCATAGATAGATACATAGATTATAGATAGATAGACCGTGGATGCATTCAAAATATGTACATAAATACAAAATACTGAAACCCTCTAGTACTCCAGGAAAGTGTCGAATAATTTAAATTCTAAAATGGTTTGATATCCTGCCTCAAAAAAATACCGAAAATAAAATTCATATATTCACCCTCCAGAAAGGGGAAACCACAAATTTCCATGATTATTACTTGTAGTTGGTGCCTGCCACCTCCCCGTGAATCACATAATTTGAGGGCTAAAATGCGATTTAATGACGCGGTCATCCTATTCTCCTTTTGGACACTGAAAAGCTGAATAA